GTTTTAGTCATGTTGTGTTTGTGGTGTAAAGTGGTGTAATGTGATGCATATGTGGCTATGGGCTGTAGAGAATGTGTGTATTGGGGATATAGCAAGTGTGTGCATACAGGCTATAGTGTGTGTATATAGGTGATGATGTGTGAGTTTAGGGGTGTAGTATGTGTTTGCTTACAAGGAATCTAGTGTGTGTATAGGTGATCCAGAGTGTGTATGTTAAGAGTGTAGTGTGTGTGTATATATTTTTTTATTTATTTTTGGAAGTATTGTGTATGTGTGTGGTGCAGTGTTTTGGGGGGTTCTGTGTGTATGTGAGGGGTGCAGTATGTGTGTGTGAGAGTGCGGTGTGTGTGAGAGTGCCGTGTGTGCGACAGTGCCGTGTGTTCGAGAGTGATGGGTGAGAGAGAGCTGTGTGATGGGTGTAAGAGAGTGCTGTGTGTGATGGGTGAGAGAGTGCGGTGTGTGAGAGTGCTGTGTGTGATGGGTGAGAGAGTGCTGTGTGTGATGGGTGAGATAGTGCTGTGTGTGATGGGTGAGATAGTGCTGTGTGTGATGGGTGTGAGAGTGCTGTGTGTGTGAGAGTGCTGTGAGAGAGTGATGTGTGTGTGTGAGAGTGCTATGAGAGAGTGATGTGTGTGTGAGTTAGTGCTGTGTGAGTTAGTGCTGTGTGTGAGAGTGCTGTGTGTGATGGGTGTGAGAGTGCTGTGTGTGAGTGAGAGTGCTGTGAGTGAGTGCTGTGTGTGCTGTGTGTGAGAGTGCTGTGTGTGTGATGGGTGTGAGAGTGCTGTGTGTGAGAGTGCTGTGTGTGTGATGGGTGTGAGAGTGCTGTGTGTGAGAGTGCCGTGTGTGATGGGTGTGAGAGTGCCGTGTGTGTGAGAGTGCCGTGTGTGTGAGAGTGCCGCATGTGATGGGTGTGAGAATGATGGGTGAGAGAGTGCTGTGTGTGATGGGTGTGAGAGTGCTGTGTGTGAGAGTGCTGTGAGAGAGTGATGTGTGTGTGAGAGTGCGATGTGTGTGTGAGAGTGCTGTGAGAGAGTGATGTGTGTGTGAGAGTGCTGTGTGAGTTAGTGCTGTGTGTGATGGGTGTGAGAGTGCTGTGTGTGATGGGTGTGAGTGCGCTGTGAGTGAGTGCTGTGTGTGATGGGTGTGTGAGTGCTGCTGTGAGTGAGTGCTGTGTGTGATGTGTGTGAAATTGCTGTGTGTGATAGTACTTGGTGTATGTGTGTGTGTGGTACTGTGTGTGATGGGTGTGAGTGATGGGTGTGAGTGATGATGGGTGTGAGAGTGCACAATGTGATGGGTGTGAGAGTGCAGTGTGTGTGTAGGGGTGCGTGTGTGTGAGAGTGCACGCATGTGATGGGTGTGAGAATGATGGGTGAGAGTGCTGTGTGTGTGATGGGTGTGGGGAGTGCTGCTGTGTGAGTGCTGTGTGAGAGAGTGATGTGTGTGTGAGAGTCACGATGTGTGTGTGTAAAGAGTGCTGGCAGAGAGTGATGTCATGTGTGTGTTACTGTACTTGAGTTTAGTGCTGTGTGTGATAGGTGTGTGAAAGGAGAATTACTGTGTGTGTGATGGGTGTGAGATGCGCTGTGAGTGAGTGCTGTGTGTGATGGGTGTGAGAGTGCTGTGTGTGAGAGTGCTGTGTGATGTGTGTGAGAGTGCTGTGTGTGATGTCTTTGAGTGTGCTGTGTGTGATGGGTGTGAGAGTGCTGTGTGTGGGTGTGAGAGTGCTGTGTGTGATGTGTGTGAGAGTGCTGTGTGTGATGTCTGTGAGAGTGCTCTGTGTGATGGGTGTGAGAGTGCTGCGTGTGATGGGTGTGAGAGTGCTGTGTGTGAGAGTGTTGTGTGTGATGGGTGTGGGGTGTGAGAGTGCTGTGTGTGATGGGTGTAAGAGTGCTGTGTGTGAGAGTGTTGTGTGTGATGGGTGTGAGAGAGTGCTGTGAGTGAGAGTGCTGTGTGAGATGTGTGTGAGAGTGCTGTGTGTGAGAGTGCTGTGTGTGATGGGTGTGAGAGTGCTGTGTGTGATGTGAATGAGAGTGCTGTGTGTGATGGGTGTGGGAGTGCTGTGTGTGGGAGTGCTGTATAAATGTTAGAATGGATTGTGTGTGTGTTGGGGGGGCAAAAAAAAAAAAAACAGGCATTAAATACCCCCTCCCTTCTTACCTTAAGCCTGGGAGGGGGGGGACCGGCACACTGGCACCTGGGACTGGGAGGCAGTGTTCCCTGGTGGTCCTCGTGGGTGAGTGAACTCTAGCCTGTGGGGCTAGAGTTCACTCTCACGAGATCCGGCGCGTTGCCATGGCAACGTGCCGGATCTCGCGAGAAGAACCCGGCGGAGCTGCAAGTTAGAGCTCCGCCGGGTCCTCCTCTCCTGGCTGGCTGGCTCCCTCCCTCTCTCCCGCCGGCGGCCAGATCTGACAGCATGTGGGCCGGTGAGGGAGATCTTTGGGAGATCCATGGAAAACAGCGGGGCCGGCGCTCGGATAGCGCCGGCCCTGCATAGACCGGCAGGGGAGATCCTCGGACCTCCCCTGCCGGCCTCGGCCCATGGCCACCGCCGCCCACCGGGCATTTGCCGGTGTGCCCGATGGCCAGTCCGGGCCTGCTGCTCAGTGGTCTCCACTATCCCCTCAACCAATGTGTGTCAAGTTAGAGTATCATTCTGTATTCCACAGATTATCATTTAAGGAGGACCTCCTCAACAGCCTTCATCGATAAGTCATTGTGACGACGTTTACAGAAGACACTGCTGTCTTACCTGTCGGTGAGCGGCGTCTCCTCTCCCCCGCTTGCCGCTTGCGTCCTTCACGCCTCCCAGCCGCAGCATGTATAACGCTGCACGCTGGGAGGTCGCTGATTTATGCAAACGCCGGGGTCACGTGAGTGACCCGGCGTTAAAGAAACAGTACCACAATCACAGTGGGGGGCATAGATATCCCCCACGTGTGATTGTTAATTCTGATTGGAAGTTATCCAATCAGAATTAAACCAAGGGTATTTATACTTACCTTTCCTGTCCCTCAGTGCCCTGTTGTGGTCTTGTGATACCTGTAGTGCTGTTCTCTCGTGTTGCTCTCTGGTTTCCGATTATTTGGCTCGTTATTCCGATTATCCTGTCTTCTCCACTCCTTTGACCTCGGCTTGTTTCTCGTTCTCCCGTTTTCTGGCTCCCTTTACTTGGCTTGTCTCCTGACCATTCTTAGTGTGCTTAGCCCTGCCACTCTAAGGACCGGTATAGCACCCTTCCTCTCTGTGACCTGTTAGCGTGTTAGGTTCCGGAATCTTGACAACTGCATTTTAGAAGACACCTCTTATGAAAACATATGTTTAGGGGCATAAATCTGACTGTATGAGGAGGTGGAGTTTTTGGCGCTTGTATTCTGGATGTGTGGCAGCTTTGACTCCCCTAACCAGAGTCTCTTCTTTTTGGTGATATGGTTGATGTGCAGAAAAAGGTGCAGGGAGGCAGCGCCTGTGGTGTTGTTCTCAAATCCAAGGTAATATGTGAAATAAGCACAGAGAACGTAATATAGTGTAGTATGTCAGGAGTTCTGGTATCTTAACAAGGACAAAGGTTGTACTTACAATTTTCTGGAGCTTATGTTCAGCTCCAGATTTATGCAAATGGACGGAATAATCCCCGTCTATGGATATGGTAGTCCTCGTGCTTGTTAGTTGGTGCTGTTCTTCGTGCTTTTAGTGGTAGTGCCGTAGCAAATGGGGAGCAAATGGAGGTATTGCTCAATCCCAAAGCGCTTAGGTGGTATTATCCCCACCAAGGATATCACTGTGTGAGTCTTGCGTTTCACCTATAACAGGCTTTATCAATGATCGGAGAGGAAGTTAGAGAATGAGATACAGAGCAAGAACATGAGATAGAGAGAGCTAGCTAGAAGGAGATAGAGAGATATACAGTGGCAGGAAACTAAATAGGAGGATAGAAAGAAAGAAAACTAAATGGAGAAAGATACATATAGAAGTAGGGAGATGCAGACACAGCAAAAAGCTCAGTTTTCTAAACAAGAAACTGAAATCGTAATTGCAAAATATAGACCAGAAACCGCAAATCTGAATAAAACTAACGTTGTTATTATTGTCTAATGTTGACTGACTAGTGACTAGTCAAAAATTAACAATACGGTAATAGCATGTAGATATATTGCATTGGAAAGTAGTTTTAAAATAAATATAACTACACATATCCACTGTTTATTATTATTGCACAATGTGTATTACATTCCCTTATTCCCTTGAATTATATGTCTCCTCTACCTACCTACCTACCTGTCTTATAATTTCTTTTATTACACTGCATCATACTCTGATCAGCCACAACAATAAAACCACTGACAGGTGAAGTGAATAACATTGATTATATAGTTACAATGGCACCTGTCAAGGGGTGGGATATATTAGGCGGCAAGTGAACAGTCAGTTTTTGAATTTCATGTGTTGGAAGCAGGAAAATGTGCAAAGTGAAGAGATCTGAGTGACTTTGATAAGGGACAAATAGAAATAGCTAAACAACGATGTTAGAGCATCTACAAAATGAGTATGCAGTGGTTAGTACCTACCAAAAGTGGTGCAAGCAAGGACAACTGGTGAACTTGCATCACTTTCATGGGCGCCCAAGGTTCACAGATGCACATAGGGAGCGAATGCTAGGCCGTCTAGTTTGATCACACAGGACAGGGGTCAAGTCCTGGGGAAAAAAGTGTGGGAACTCTCCCCAAAAAAACCCAAAACACTTGTATATATGTGTATATATATGTATGTATGTATGTGTATGTGTGTGTGTATATATATATATATATATATATATATATATATATATACATACACACGCGTGCACACACACATACACTCACACAGTGGTGTATTTTAATTTTATGCTGCCCTTGACATGACTATATTGCACCCCCCTAATCTAAATTTACCACTCCTTCATGTCAAGGGTGCACCGCTTCCTGATTAAGAACCCACCCCTTCCTCTTTAGATTCCACCTTTTCCTGCTCCTTTTAAAGAAATACTATAGTGCCAGGAAAACAAAGTTGTTTTCCTGGCACTATAATTCCATATAGTGCCCCCCTCCTCTCATGTCCTCCCCTCCCCCACTCAACACTGAAGGGGTTAAAATCCTATGGGTATTTAGCAGATGCTGGATGTCCTCATGCACAGGGTGAGGACGTCCAGCATCAGTTAGGTGACTTTTGGTCACCTAACTACCCGAAAGTCCCTCTAGTGGCTGTCTGATAGACAGCCACTAGACTTGGAGTTACCCCTCAGGTAATTATTGCAGTTTCTGAGAAGGTTTAAGGGGACTGGGACACTGCACCCAGACCACTTCAAGGAGCTGAAGTAGTCTGGGTGCCTATAGTGTCCCTTTAAGCACACTCTCTGACAGACACCCACACTGGCAGATACACACTATAAGTAACACACACATTCAATGACAAACACACAGACGTCACTAATTTGACACACACATTCACTGACACACACTCATTCATTGACAGAGAGACACACACTAATAGTCACACACACACTAAATGACAGACTCTCACTTATTTGACAGAAACTTACAATAACGTATGCACATACATGCAATTGCAAACATACACATGCATACACTAACAGAAGCACATACACTCACATACACGTACAAACGCTAACAGACATAAATACACTCCTACACACACTGAGACAAACAGACATCCACAGACAGACATCCACAGACAGACATCCACAGACAGACATCCACAGACAGACATCCACACATCCAGACGTCCACAAACAGACGTCCACACATCCACAAACAGACATCCACACATCCACAAACAGACGTCCACACATCCACAAACAGACATCCACACATCCACAAACAGACATCCACACATCCACAAACAGACATCCACACATCCACAAACAGACATCCACACATCCACACAGACATCCACACATCCACAAACAGACATCCACAAACAGACATCCGCAAACAGACATCCCCACATCCACATCCACAAATCCACAAATCCACACATCCACATCCACACATCCACAAACAGACATCCACACATCCACACATACACAAACAGACATCCACACATCCACAAACAGACATCCACACATACACACACAGACATCCACAAACAGACATCCACACATCCACAGACATCCACAAACAGACATCCACACATCCACAAACCCACAAACAGACATCCACACATCCACCAACCCACAAACAGACATCTACACATCCACAAACAGACATCCACAAACAGACATCCACACATCCACAAACAGACATCCACATATCCACAAACAGACATCCACATATCCACAAACAGACATCCACACATCCACAAACAGACATCCACATCCACACATCCACAAACAGACATCCACACATCCACAAACAGACATCCACACATCCACATCCACAAACAGACATACATACATCCACAAACAGACATCCACACATCCACAAACAGACATCCACAAATCTACAGACATCCACAAATCCACAAACAGACATCCACACATCCACAAACAGAAATCCACAAATCCACAAATCTACAGACATCCACAAATCCACAAACAGACATCCACAAATTTACAGACATCCACACATCCACAAACAGACATCCACACATCCACAAACAGACATCCACACATCCACAGACATCCACAAATCCACAAACAGACATCCACAAACAGACATCCACAAACAGACATCCACAAACAGACATCCACACATCCACAAACAGACATCCACAAACAGACATCCACACATCCACAAACAGACATCCACAAACAGACATCCAGAGACAGACATCCACACATCCACAGACAGACATCCACACATACACAAACAGACATCCACAAACAGACATCCACACACAGACATCCACACACAGACATCCACACACAGACATCCACAA